AAATGCTCAAACCAAGACCGGCCTTAACATCTCGAAATCCTGAATCCGAAGTGCCCGAGTCCGTGCACTCTAGACAGCGAGACAAAAAAGTCGAAAGTGCAGTAGCCAACAGCCCATTAGGTCAGAAGGCAATCTGAGGCACCCTTTGCGCACGCTGTGATGGCCACGTTGAAGCTAACGGTGTCTCCTCGGATCCTGGATGGCGGTTTAGTCCAGGAAACCTGGAGGTAGCGGGTTTAGGTTTTGAGGTGTCCTTGGATGTGGTCTCAACAGCCCGCACCTAGCCGGAAAGCCCAATCCCACACGCCCGTCTGGGAATGGGATTCGACGCATGAAATACAGAGGCTCTGTGCTGGAAGAACCTGCACGATCAAGGGAACCGTTGGTTTCAAATTTGCCAGAGCGGGATCTCACGTTCGCCGGTAGTGGGGTCGGCGGTCCGGCCTCCCGTCTCCGTCTTCATGGCGAGGCTCGGCAATTCCACGGGTGGCCCTGACTTCGATTTCATACGAGTGGCATCCATGATCTGCGAAAGAGATCTGTCTCTTGCATGCCTTGCCATCGATGTGACATGCGGATTTGTGTGAAGACCTTCCCAGGTGAGATCTTTGCCCTTGCGGCAGGGGCACGCCGCCCCATCGACAATACGAAAACCAATATCCACTACAACGCAGGAAGTTGGCTAAGCCGCTGAAGCGGCAATGCATATAATTCGTCGAGACCTGCACCTCGATGCCCTGTCCTTCCTGCACGGTGATCCTGGCATGCGTGCTGTCATGTGCATGCTGCAGGATGGCATAAGGAGCAAACGATGGCGTTGACGGCTGCTCTTGGAATGGTGGCGTGCTTTATGCGCGCCGGATGTGCTGGAGAAGTTGTCAAAGTAGCTGTGATTCGTTGTGGGAGGCACACCCTTTCGTCTTGCAGCGCTGGCGCCGCTCGTAATCTTGCTGTTGCAGCTTCTCTCAAGCACTTAGACCATGATTGTCATTCGAACCGTTCAGTTGCATCCTCTCGAGTGCACCTTTGACCTCAATTTTCTGGCCTACGGGGCTCATCAGATGACACACATTTCTCACGGCATGCTTGAGAGGTCCTCCTCCAACATGGGTATCTCAAGAAGCGATATCACCATGAAATGATCGTGTACCTTTTCATTGCATTCGGAGGTGAAGGCAGGTGTCTTGGTGGAAGTATAGAGGAGGACACGGCAACTTAGAGAGCAACGTGACAGCGTGAACCGCTCAACGGCCCCGATCCCCAAACTTATTTACACGAGTCCTAAAGCCCGGCTTTCAAAGAACTCCCGTGACCTACACAGAAACACAGGAATAACAATGAAGCCCCTAGGGATGTCCTCGCTTCGAACATGGATTGGCACACCATCAGGCTGGCCCGCCATTGTGATGCCTCAGGCTTGGACTGCATGGTTACAGCTTCTGGACGACGAACTCGAGGCTCTGGATGATCATGTTGATATTTTGGGAGCCAGGAGTTCGTTCGTCACGAATCTTTCTATTGTCATGTATTGGCTTATCGCTTTAGGACTCCTTTTGTGTATTGTTGCCTTTGTTCTGTATATATCTTTGCGGCTTACGGGCCTCCCCAAGCCTTTTTAGACCCTGCAGCTCTAAAGACCTGACCGACTCAATCAGATTTCATTAGCACTTTGGTAGGATTCTGATGGGATCCCAGGTTCATGCATCTTGACAGTTTTGGAAATTGGGTCGTACTGGATTCTCCATGGTTACAATTTTAGGCTTTCTGCGGTCGGCAAAATCATGCCGTGATAACGCCGCAAATAATGCCAATAGTTCGCACAACCAGTTGCAGTACTCGTGTGCACTGATAGTAGTCGTAGTACATTGCATGAGTAATCATTCGCAATAAAAGCAAGTTTCGCGCCAAATAATTAGTACCAATGGTAAATATGGCAACAACAATCATAATCCTTTTGACAATGACAATACCAGAGAAACTAGCGCCAGTAACAGCAATAGCAACTATACAACATAAACGTCATGATCATACCCGCCGTGCTAAGAGTACTAACGTTGCTAACAGTAATCCTTTCCCCCTAATATTAAACGGATGGGGGGGCAAATAGAAACTCGGAAAGTTTTTTATCACTAGGGGTAGTTTTATGTCTACTGTCACTTTTGAGGGCTCTTGCTTTTGCTCCTGCGCAGGCTTTTGCTCCTGCTCCTGCTGCGTCTCTTGCTCTCGCTCCTGCGCCTGCTGAGGATTCGCCCCAATGTGTGTTTATGATTAGGGGTGTTTAATAAAAGGAGAAAGTGATTAACAACAGCTACAACACATATTGACAATCATAACAATACAAGTTCTAGTCATAATAGGCGAAGCAATGAGCATAATAGCAGTGCTTTCAATAACACTCACAATAAGCTCAATAAGCAAGAATAGAGCCAATCGTTTCAGTCGTGCTACCAATACTAGCATTTATCAGCACTGGCAATCATAGCACTAATCACACCTGTACAGTGGCAAACACATTGAACGTTTCGACAAAGGTTCGCATGAGTTGTGTCCTTGTTGGTACCATGTTCCTTGAAGCAAGCTGCACGGCTTAAACCAGCGGGGCGCGGGGGTTGGTGGGGCGCAGCCCCCGCGCACCCCATCGGCAAACACGGTGATGGGTTCGGAAAGGGTTCGTTCAAGTACTGGGTTTTGTTGGTACCATGACCTTGAAGCCAGCGGCTTGAAGAAAGCTGGTGGGTTGGGCGCGGCGCAGTTCGCCCCACTATGCACAAACAGACGGTCTGTAGGGTTCTGAAAGGATTCGTTTAGACTCTGCTCGATGCTTCTCAAAACAAGCTTGAACGGATGCGAAAAAACGTTGGCTTGTGGGGGAAGGGAGCGCGCGAAGCACCCCCACAGTTGCAAACCGAATGCCTTCGTGCTGGGCCTTGAAAAATTTCCATACAATAATGTGCTTGGCGCAATTCTTGGTGGCCCGACGTGCTTGAAAGCAAGCTTGCGCAGCTTAAGAAAGCCGGGTTCGGGGAGCCGCAGCCCCTGATTGCAACACCATGCCTGTATGATGGTTTCTGAAGGGGCTCATAGGGGTTCTGTTCTTGATAGCACGACTCTCCTGATAGCTAGCTTGGGTGGCTTACGAGCACGGGCGCTCCTGCTTTATATCCTGGTTATTCCCTTCTTCCATTCCTCCCTTGCGTTAATTGCAGGTTCCCTTTCTTCTCTTTCACGATTGTCTTTTCTTCTTTGTCTTCTTGTTCCCTGCTTCCCTTCTGTTGTTTGCATTGCATTTCATTTCTCATTCGTTTCTTTCCTCCCCTCTTCCCTTCGGAATGTTCCCTCTTACTTCTTTCCATCGTCCATCCCTTGGTTTCTTCTTCTTTCTATTTAACTCTTTACTTCATTTTGCTTTGTTCTTGGACTCTTGCTGTCTTTAGGGAGTTTGTCCTTTCTTTCGTGCTTTATGCCTTGCTCTTTTCTTTCCTTGCTTCCACTGTGGAATCCATTGATGTCATGTTGTTTTCCTTAGTCATTTCCTTCTTTCTGTCTTGCTTGTCCTCTCTCTTACCCTTCTTCTCCATGTACATCCCTCAGTTGCTGTCTTTCTGAAGCGCTTGCTTTCTCTCGGTGTCTTTCTTTCGGTCTGCTTTCCTTTGTTTCCGTCCGTCCTTCCACTGCAGGAGAACTACTAAAACAACGAAACACGACAAGCAATAACAACAAAGGACAAAACAATGCTCTACCCATCTTTTCGGAGCTTTTGGCTCCTGCATTTCGACTCAGGGTGAGGTTGTGAACTCCGCACCGTTCAGGGTTTTTAGTCCTGCGCGGTCTTGATGACCAGCGTTGCCTTGACATTAAGGTTTGGCGTTTGGGTGTCAAGAGGGTCTGACGTGTCAGGGCTCCGATCTCAGCGGAGGCATACTTCCTCCTACACCTCTCAAAAAGAGAATACCGCTGCAGGCAGGTGACATATTCTGAAAATGTGCTTGTTTCGGTAAGGTTGTGTGATGGCTCGGATTATTGGGGCGAACACTTGTTTTATTTGTGTATCAGCGAGTGTATTTTTAATTTAGGACCGTGGGGTCAGAGGAGCTGAACGTCTCGGGAATCAGCCTTTAAGCCCGGCGTCCTTGTTGCACGCACTCCCCACAGTGCTGTAGGAGACGGCCGTAGCCTCACCGCAGACCAGAAAGCATCACCCTCAAAATCCGTGTAGCACCGGACCACCAAGGCATCAAGCTCCAAAGAATCTCGTCAGGCGGGCAATCCCATAGCCATAGCTATCGCCAGAACTGCAGAGCAAGCACATGATGATGTGGTCATCCTGTTTCTCTTCTTCATGCATCTCAAGAGAACCATGACTACAGCACGGACGTTGGTGAATAGTACATAAGATCATGATCCATCCCAATGATAACCGTCCTGCTGTCAGACGCATTGTTACTGTACTACCGAATCTCCACAGTACCTTAACGGTTCATTCAGAAGTGAAGTTACTTGACTCTTTCGAGCCTGCAGCAACTTGGCACGCAGCACCTGAGAAGGGTGTAGAGTTTGCAGGAATGAAATTCCTGCTTCATTGCCATTCAGTTGCAGTGCGAACCTGTGGTTCAACAGCTCGGGCTGTGGGGTTAGAAGAGAGACAGGGATCTTCCAGTTATCCAACGAGATTGAGAGGACAAACACACGAAAACCTTGCGAGGCTGAGTAGATTTCGTCGACCACAGCGAAGCATCTCGCAATGGCTGTGTCTGCTACAGTGCAACGTTCAAAGCCGGCGAGCCTTACAGACAAAGAAAAGCACAAAGAGAGACAGAGAGAGAGAGAGAGAGAGGGAGAGATACATATATGTATATATATACATATATATATATACATATACTTATATTAATACACACACATGCAAAAACGATCATGTTGGTGGGGTGGGGTACGCACCACCGCAGAGCCGCGGCACCGACAATCTTGAATCCACATCCACGCACTCGACTACTCAAGGTTTGACGCATGACAAGGCAGCGTGTAGATGTAAGCATCCTCTTGTAGAACCAGGCCGAATAATACAGAATCTGGATATCTGCCCAACAAGTCATGCCATAACTTAACATATATATATATATATATATATATATATATATTATGACATTGAACCCAACTGGCACCTACAAAAGAAAAAAACACACCGGAGTCCAGAGTGGCAGCCAACCCGGATGGAAAAGTACGCAGGAACTCTGAGGCACGTCTGAGGCACAACAGCAACGAAGACAATGCTGCTCCCAGACAGCTGTAACGCCCATATACAAGCCTTGAATGCCTCTCAGGAACACGGCTGCTAGTCTTACAATACAAAGATCTAGCGACATTGTAGGTAGAGGGGTTACTTGTGACTTCAACTTTGTCTCACTTGCGACTTTTATGTTGTCTCGCTTGTGACATCTCACTTTCTGACCTTGAAAACTCCTGCATTTCCATGAGTTTTGGACTCCCTCCGGCCCTCCCTCCCTCCACCTCCTGATGCCAAACAAGTTGAACCGGAATCGCCAAACTAGGGGCCATGTTCAAGATAGATGATGAAATAGCATCGCCAGACGAGGGGGCGTGTTTAAGGTACATGTTGAATGTTGAACCGGAATCGACAAATGAGGGGGGCGCATTTAAGAACATGGGGAACAGGAATCGCCAAATGAGGGGGCGTGTTTAAGTAGATGATGACGTAGCATCGCCAATTTCCAGCTGAGGGGGCGTGCTTCAGATATGTGCTGAACCGGAATCGCCAAATGAGGCGGCGTGTTTACGGTAGATGATGACGTAGCATCGCTAAATACCCAATGAGGGGGCGTGTTTAAGATATATGCTGAACCGGAATCGCCAACTGAGGGGGCATCTAAGATAGATGATGCAAGAGCATCGCCAAACGAGGGGGCGTGTCTCAGGTAGATGATAAAGCAGCACGCCAAATGGTAAAGATACATGTTGAACCGGAATCGCCATACAAGGGTCGTGTTTAAGATCTATGAGGAACCGGCATCGTCAACTGAAGGAGGCGGAATCGCTAAACGAGGGGGCTTGTTCAAGATAGATGTTGGCCACATGAGGGGGCAGTTTAACATGTACGATAGGCCGCAAGCGCCACATGAGGGGGTATCTTTCAGTTCATGCTGAACCGGAATCTCCAAATGATGGGCCGTGTTCAAAACAGATGATGAAGTTGCATCGCATAATGCCAAATGAGGGGACGTGTTTAAGAAGATGGGGAGCGGGAATAGCCAAATGAGTGGGTGTGTCTAAGATTTATGTTGAACCGGAATCGCCGAATTAGGGGCCATGCTTAAGATATGGTTGAGCCGGAATCGCCAAAGGATGGGGCGCGTCTAAGAAAATGGGGAACCGGAATCGCCACATGAGGGGGCGTGCTTCAGATCTTTTTTGGAGGCCGCAATCGCAAAATGAGGGGGTGTTTTTTAAATCTATGTTGAACCGGAATCACCAAATCAGGGGCCGTGTATACGTGTATACAGGAGGAACCGGCAATCGTCAAATGAGGGGGCGCGGGCGTGTTTAAGATAATATGATTAACCACAATCGCCAAATGAGGGCGCGTGTTTAAGATGTACGACAAAAAATCGGACTCGCCAAACGAGCGGGCGTGTTTCAGAGAGATGATGAAGTAGCATCGTCAAATGAGGGGGCCTGTTTAAGATATATGTTGAATCGGAATCGGAATCGCCAAATGAGGGGTTCTGTTTAAGATATTTGAAGAACCGGCATCACACGTGATTTTCGCCGACGAGGGTTGTAAATTCTTCTGTCAGAGAAGTCACAACGCGGAGAAGTCACAAGTGATTCGAAGCACTTTTGCCGAGACTTGCTGCAAATTACTGCGTCAGAGAAGCCACAAGTGAGCCAAAGTAGAAGTCACAAGTGAGCCGCATTTCGGGCAAGGCTTGAGAAGTCACAACTGAGACTAACAGAAGTCACAAGTGAGCGGCCAACCGACATTGTATGTCTTATTATCTCGCACGTCGAAGTGTCTTCTTTCACGAGGAGCAGGTATCTCAGTAACATTTTCATAGCGCGAGCGGCATTGCGGCTACTGTGATCACGAATGCTGCTACACGAGCTAATATGTCTTAAATCTTCGACAATGCTACATTGGTCCATATTGTGTCTACAGCAGACTTGCTAGAGCCACGAAGATCGCCACTAGGGTTATCGCTCCCAGTAGCTGCACTACAAGATCAAGTTGCAGGCCTGCAGATGATGGAGAGCCAGTTGCCAGTCTGCCAGGCGGTCGCAGGCACTTAGCCTTGGCATGATCTCCAGGAGGCCAGGGAGTTCAGGTGAAATTCTGTCTTCTGTTTCCGAAAGGGTCGTCGCCTCGATGGGCCCACTTGTAGACTCCTAGAGCTACCGGGCTACCGACACGAGGCCAGTACAGGCATCATAGTGTCGAGATTTAGGTCGGCGTAAATTCGAGGGGCATAGAATTCGAGGCTGCTCAGAGTTTATTGAGGACTGTGTTCGGGTGTGCGAGCCGTCGATGCAGTTAGTTTCAGGTCCACAGTTCAGATGGATGTAGAGTTTGAGTAGATTGAAGTGAAAGGTCTCCAGGAGTTGCGTTTGAAGGCCCTGTGCAGGAGATGAACAGCTGGACTGCGGCAAGAACGTGGACTCTAGTCGAAAAGTGCACCGCACCCCAGCATGAGCCACGGAACCGCCGGCCGGCACCGACTGGATGCCATCGATTTATTTGTATAACACTCATTCTACAGATGTAGAGAAGTCGTCTTGCCTGTTACAGGATCCATGACCGCTTCGTGCCGGCTGCCAGCAGCTGATTCCGGTGCACCACATTGGTTTGGAAGTTGGCAGCCTCCAAAGGATTCAAGCTTCAGTTGCAGCATGCCAGACGCGCAACCGACATGGACTGGATACGTCTAGATGACCATGCATTGGATGGCCCAACGTAGAACAACACTGAATACAATCGGCGTATCCTCAACTCTCCTCGAGCAGAAGCCCATTCTCAGCGAAAGCTGCCGTAGTCAATTACTGCACTCAGGGCAAGGAATAACAAGAGTCGTCGGTGGCTGCCTCATGTACAATGTGTCCAGCTTCAGCTATGCTCTGCCGCATGGCATTATTCTCTATTTTTGCAGCGTCAGACTTAGAGGATCTTGCACACCCTGGTAAGTCCTCAACAGGCTTTCGAACGCGCCGCTCCGACTGCGAAGCTTCCGGGTTGGAAATTTAGAGTCAACGAAGGTGGGGTCGCTACCGATAGCAGAGTGCCCAAAGTCTTCAGACATAGCCATTGCATCCTCCCTCCGTCCCTGCTTTCCCCCCTGTCTCCAATTTGTATCGATATGTGTGGATCTTGCGGCACTGTTCGTCTGCACATGGGTCTATCTACTGTCAAAGGCACCAACAGCACAGTTGGGTACAAGGTGCGCGCGCATGCACGCAAGCTTGCACAGGTACAGAAACAAACAACACAAAAACCAACTAACACACAGAATCACACTCACATGTGGACAGGCCAACATGTGCAAAACCAAAGCACACTTGCGGTGAGATGGACAGACCTGCACCCGTCAACCCATCCATGCCTGCAGACAGTGCATACGTTTAGTATTGTATGTGTAATGGACAGGTTTTCCAATCTTCTCCCACGAAAGGCATACCGAATGAGGAGTTCTTCCATCGAGCCTACACGACCTTTGAATGCGCCCATACGAACCATGTTAAGCCGCAAGCTGGCCTCCATCGCCGAGATCATGTCCTCAGCGAAAGTCTGTTGCACCGAAGTCGGCTTTGCTGATGAACTTACATCTAGAACAACCTCAACTAAGGAATCGCTCAGGGTTGCGAGGGTCAAGAGGTTCTGGGATAGGCGGTCTTGCTCAATCAGCATGGGCGGCTGCGAAGGAAATGCAGCCAAAACATAACAAAAGGCGGTGGCTATGCTTGTCCTTTCAAAGAGAGATCGCGTCGCTTTAGGATATACTTCGGCAGTTTTGCAACACCGCTCCTGGGCACCCAAACCTTATTCAGGCCTGAAGTGGGTCTGCCGTCTTGAAACCAGGGTTGAGTGCTTCTGTCTAGTTGCCGTCACATCGATGGTGAGGCTGCGCACGCAGAGCGCACGCAGAAGGAATACGATTCATAACTCAGCAAGATCGTCAACAGTGTCGAAGTGGCCGCTACGTCACCGCGAGATATCCCAAACTTGAGCAGGGATACTACAGCGCTGCTATGCACAGCTGGTATTCTCGGAGCTCATGCCCCGAAGTGCTACCCGACACAAGAGATAGGAGCCAAGTCCATCCTGGAGCCTTTCGGATAACGAAGAAGATGTCTTGCCGTCACCTTCTTCACGTCAGTTCTCGAAATCCGCAACCCGATCTTCTGCCTCGAATGCAAGCCTCAATTTCACCCTTTCACATCTCCTGAGCAGTTTGAACGGACGGTTGGCAGCCCAGTCTATGGCGGCTCAAAAAGATCGTACTCACACAGACTTGTAGTGGTTATCCCTTGCCAGGACTTTTGCGAAATCAGCCGAGCAACGAACACCAAGTCGGGTCTTTTGGCAGCTGCAAGCGGATGAAGAAGGGCCTTGCAACTTGCAAAGAGGGGCTAAAGCTTCGGATTAGCAATGACGAAGTTGGTGTCTGCGGCAGATCTTCGTCAACTATGGAGCCGGTCTTGCTATCGCGAGACAGCAACATCTGTATCACCAAGTCTTGCAACCAACCGAGTCCTATGTTGAAATCCGGATTCGATCAGCTGCTAGAGCCAGAGCCTGTCCTGAACACCTGCATACATCAGGGAGGAAGTCTGGTTGAAACTCCTGAGAGCGTATTAAGGGTCCAGGCACCGAAATATCACGAGGAGGCATTGATGAAGACAGGGAACCTCAGTTGAGGAATCGAATTCGACACCCGACATCCAATGCAGCAGGCCTGTTTTCCAGGTTACGAACATAGAGGGGTGCAACCAGCTGAATGATTCAATGATGAGAGTGCACGGAGCTCTGCGGATATGGTGATGGAATTGTGGCCATGAAACCATGCGTGATGGACAAATTGAGTCCTTCGGGCAACCGAAGCTTGGTCAGGTTGGTTTTATACAACTTGTAGTCTCAAGCGGATAAGAATCAGCCTGTGTAGAACCAAAGTGGAATGCACAGCAGTAGGACTGCAGTTTCAGATGAGCCTCACTGTCACGCTGTATGTACTCTGACCGGAACGTAACCACTCGCTACAACAATATAAGAGCCGGAATCAGTGGAATAGGGTCTCGAATCAATCTATTGTGTATAAAAAGGAAAGTGTGGAAGAGGTCATGAACGAATAATACGGCTGAGAAATCCACAGCTGAGTCCGAAGGACTCTTTCACAGGCTCTCCGGTTCAAGCGCATGATTGTCGAAAGTGAACCCTGAGACCACGATACCCCCGAATACTACATGCCCCAAGAAACGGGCAGCGTGCTGACAAGACTGCAGGAAACTCCCAGCAAAGTTGCACCCATGCTGTGGGAAGTTCTTTTCGCTCAGGTTCTTGGTTAACTCGTTGGAAACAGTGAAAGTGAGGTCTGTAATCACATCGCCCTGAATTCGATGCCGCAATGTGTAATGCAGATTTGACCACCGCCGCGAGTCATCATTATAAAACCCCTGAACATTGGCACTAAGTTAGCCTGATTCGCTCAAGAACGCACTAATAGCTGGGTATCTCCATCGAGTGAGCTGTGATATGGTTGATCTCTTGGGGACTGGGAGTTGTCGGATTCTACAGTCGCTGGGTTGTTGGACCTGAAACCGGTTCAGCAGGTACTCCTGCAACAGATTCAGACGGAAGAAAAAAGCCTCTGATGCTTCCATGCGAAAATACTGGCTTGCTGATCCCCAAAGCCTCAAAGCAAGAAAGAAGCACAAGGATAACACAGAAACCATGACAGCGAATCAATGCCGACCCGACTCGATATTTAACTGTCATGGAGCTAACGGCGCGCTTCACCTCCTCCGCTGCACAGCCCGGCGGCTGCTGAAGCAAAGTAGCCGCAACAGCCTCTCATACTCACCAATGTTTGCGTTAGCTGCTTTTTGCTCTCTGCTGTTCGGGCCAGCTAACTCACTACCATGCTTTAGGGGTCTGCAGTCTTCTTGGCCCTGGAGCACGCTAGGTTTAGACATGAGGAGAATGACAGCCGCAAGGTGTCAGCTCGACTTCATTCGGATTCTAGTCATTCTAGAGAGTTTTCTAGGCCTCCAACCCCCAACATGCACGCATACATGCATACACACACATAGCCATGCATACCTACATACAAACGTACACAAGGACATCCACCCATCTATCCATCCGCCCATCCATGCATCCGTCCGTCCATCCACCAATCTCCCCATCCATTTGTCCATCCATGTTTGCATTCATGCATGCGTTCACTCAGTCATACATCCAAGACGGGACGACCAATCAACCAGCCTAGCTACCTGGCCCGTGGATAGCTAGTCATACTGTAGCTGCCTACCTGCCACATACATACGGTGAGTGATTCACTCATGTTGCATTCATGCATGTTGCATTCATTCATTCATCCATTCATTCATTCGCTCGATTCCTTCCTTCCTTCATTCATTCATTCATTCATTCGTTCATTCATTCATTCATTCATTAATTCATTCATTCATTCATTCCATCCATCCGTCCGCCCATCCATCCCTCCGTCCGTCCATCCATCCATCTATCCATTCGTTCATTAAAACATTCATTCATTCATTCAGGCGAGTGGGTGGGTGAGTGATTGAGTGAGAGAGAGAGAGAGAGAGAGAGAGAGAGAGAGAGAGAGAGAGAGAGAGAGAGAGAGAGAGAGAGAGAGAGAGGGAGAGAGAGAAAGAGACAGAGAGAGAGAGAGAGAGTGAGTGAGTGGTGAGTGGTGAGTGAGTGAGTGAGTGAATGAGTGAGTCGTTGGTGTTGCTTCAGCCTTTCACTCGCTCGTTCGTTCATCCATTCATTCATGTCATTCCCTCTTACTCACCCACTCACTGTCAGTAAGTCAGTCGGTCGGTGGGTCAGTCTATCCTATCAGCCCATGGTTCATGCATTGGTTGATTTAACTAAATGCAGTTCAATTCCATTCCTCTCCATGCTTATGTGTGTGTGTGTGTATACTGTATACGTGTATTATATCTGTATTTATGTCTATCTCTATATGTGAGTCTACATCTACATCTATCTATCTTTGTGTTTATATACCTATATATGAGATATATGCGTAGGTATAACAACTGCATAGATTCGCGCAGCGATTGCGCTTTCCTCGAGCCCAAGAAGGGCGGAAGAAACCACACACTAGACTGCAAAACACAATCCGCCCTCGCACATCGCGAGTTCGCGGGACTGCTAGTGTGTTGGGGGCCATCAAGCTAGTCGCATGTCAATCTTCCCGGTGCCGGGTTTGGGCTTACAGTTTGCGACGAAAAGTCTCCGCCTGCATTTCGTCCAGGAAGCCGGTTGACCGACGCCATGCGACCACTTGTGTCTACTTGTGTTTTTCAGAGCCTTCACCCAAGACTGGTACACTGAACTTCCTGAATATTTTTTTATCGTTCTGTATTCGGGAAGTTGGCCTAAAGCACAAGATAAAATACAAGGCCGAGCAATCGGGCCAATCGGGCTTCAAGTTCGGGGTTTGCTTCAGAAGCCACTGTGTGCCAGCCCCTGGACAAGAAAGATAATTGATCTGCGAAGCTACTGAAAGTTGCTTGGTGGGGCCTACATGCCGCGACACAATCAGCTCTGAAGCCAAATTCTCAGACTGAAGCAAGCAAAGATCACATCAACTAGAAAACCCCTGGCCGCCAATCTCAGTCGAAATATACTCTGTTTCTGTTGGTGCTAAATAACGCTTACCTTACCATGCTCCGACAAACTGCTTCTGTGGAGACTTTGCAAACCTTACGCCGTTGCCGTAAATAAGAAGTAATGAGAAGAACAACTTTCTCGTAGCAGTAGCAGTAGCAGCAGTAGGAGCAGCAGCAGCAATAGGACCAGGAGCAGCAGTAGGGGTAAGAGTAGGGGTAGGAGTAGGAGGAGGAGGAGGAGGAGGAGCAGGAGTAGGAGTAGTCGTCGTCGTACTAGCAGCAGTAGCAGTAGCAGTCGTCGTAGTAGAAGTAGTAGTCGTCGTGGTAGCATCATTAATATTCTAGCAGTAGTAGAAGTAGTAGTAGCAGCAGTAGTAGTAGTAGCAGGAGTAGTAGTAGTAGTAGTAGTAGTAGTAGTAGTAGTAGTAGTAGTAGTAGTAGTAGTAGTAGTAGTTCTGCTAGTAGCAGTAGCAGCAGCAGCAGCAGCAGCAGGAGTAGTAGTAGAGTAGTAGTAGTAGTAGTAGTAGTAGTAGTAGTAGTAGTAGTAGTAGTAGTAGTAGTAGTAGTAGTAGTCGGAGGAGGAGTCGTGGTAGTCGTCGTCGTAGGAGTGATAGCAGTAGTGGTAGCAGCAGTGGTAACAGTAGCGGTAGCAGTAGCAGTAGCAGCAGCAGCAGTAGTAGCAGCAGCAGTACCAGTAACAGCAAGACTGTGTTGAATATACATATCTATATATACCGTACATACACATGAATGTGTGTCTAAATAAATAAATAAATATATATATATATATATATATGTATATATATATATATATATATATATATAATGTATATGTACACATGCAGACAGATAGATTGATAGACAGATAGACAGGTAGATACAGATCAAAATATATCTAGCGAGCTTCCAAATCTCCACGCCGTCAAGCCCTCAGCCGTAAGCGAGCACCACGAACAGACCTAGGCTCGAACACCAAACCCCTATATTGTGCTTTTATAAAATCTGTACCAGTTGCCCCTAACGAAATTTAGACCTTGTCCAAGCCTCGCAGCAACGGCAGGAACTCTGCAGCCCTAGAAAGATATCACAAATCAAACAAGACACAATCTATAGAAGGATCCTTTGTGAGACCGTGTCTAATGCGGTACGAAGCATGACAGGGAAGCTAGCCAATGCCAGAGATCTAGTGAAGCTTTCAACGCTCTTAGCCCTGAGCCCACCACGTCCCGCTCCCGAACCACCAACTTGCCGAGACTCCATGCATGCAGTCACCCCTAGCTCTCTGTGACTCTCCTCGGTGCAGCGGCGCTTGGCCGGGTGCTCAACCTGCAGGTTCGAGTTGCGTTCTGTGGCCACATCCATTTGATTCGCAGCCTGTAGTTTCTGTTCATTGTCTGCAGACCCAGCAGGAATGGGGTTTCAAGGCCCACACACTCACATTGGCAGGCAGAGGAGCAAAGGTGTTCAACTTCCCTCAGTTCGCCGGGCTCCGGCTGTCTTGGCAAAAGAAACTCTGCACTGCACTGAAGGATAGTCTACGGATCAGTGAGACATGCCTCCCCGCAGCCCATCCCTGCTATCATTGTGTGTGTGTGCGTCACATCAGAACCTGAATACTTCTTTGAGTTTCGATATCACGCACAATCGCAGACACGTCGTGTTGATTGAATGGTGCGCTGAGCAGATCTGGCACGAAACTATGATTATTCAAGTCTGCGTATCCTTCAGCCGTGCTCGACCGCACCCACGCTAGCCAGCTAGTCAAGTCTGTGGCATGCAAAACAGTGTCCTTTGTCTGAGTCTGATTAGTTCAAAGAAGGAGATGCAAGAGTACATTGCAATCCCGGCATGCATCCGTCCGTGATGAGGCTTCAGGCTTGGAGTTGCATGTGTGTGCAGTCAATGATCCCCTTCCTGGCATTGGCAGTGCTGCCTCAGCCTCCACTTGCGGCATAGAGTCCACCTGTCAAAGCATGGTGAGATGTGCGCACGTGAATCTTCTCACAGACTTCAGACTGCGATCCTTGTCGCCTCAGGCTACCAGGAAGCACTTCATGTTGAGGGCAACTGAAATGATGGGTACTTAGTCACTTAGTCTGCTTGAAGACTGCCTGGGCATTGCAAATGTTGCGTGCCTTCCTGTCTCTCACGCATGTGGTTCCCACATTAAACTTCCGGAAAGCTTTCTCACCACATGCCAGAACAATTTAAATCGACCTCAAACACTACACGATGCCGGAGGCACTACGGCAAGAGACGTCTGCGACAACAGGCAGAAACCGGGATGAGAGCATGGACATATGTTTCACTGGTCTGCCCACCTCAACGTCCACCTGGGTAGCGGCAACCTGGTGCACCCGGAACCCACCAAAGTCAGGATAATTCAAGTGCGACTGTGCGACTATGCGCTATGAATGTCAGAGTTGAAGGCTTTAGTCAAGATAATAGCGTCATGATATTCTACGCAGGAAATGGTATGTTCTTGCTGCGTAGCTCTGTGCTGGCCTGCTTTCATCCTAGCTGGTACAATTAAATTAAACACCATCACTGCCACTGCCGCTACCACTACTACTTCCGCCACCACCACCACCACAACTAAATACTGCTCCTACCCTACTCCTGCTCCTACACCTGTGCCTGCTCCTAATCCTAATCCTACTACTCCTCCTCCTCCTCCTCCTCTTCTTCCTCCTCCTCCTCTTCCTCCTCCTTTTTCTCCTCCTTTTCTTCTTCCTCCTCCTCCTCCTACGATTACGACTGGTACAATTGCTCTTGCTACAACTCCCGCTGCTACTCCTCCTGTTGCCGCTGCTGCAATCATATGGCTGTATCAGCGGCAATGGTTTATCCTCCTTCCTACTTTTCGCTTGTTGATTTTTGGTGCATGTGAACCCGTTCCCCAGCTTATGAACCCCGGTCCACACGGTAACATTAAGCAATACGGTGGGAATGCGGTGGTTCCGGGCCCGAACTGAAACTAAACCAAGCGTGCTAGGGAGTCGCTTGGTAGCATCACTACTTCGGATGATGGAGCACATCTTGCACCCCTTTAATAGGCAGAGAAGGAGAACTCGCTTTGAAACATCGAGGTCCGGTTCCTGGAAAAGCCGTTTCTTTGTCGAAAATAGGTACTGCACCAATCGCATGCGGAGATTATCTTGAACTTGAAGAATGAGACGGCTGTGTGGAGCCCTGGTGATGGGCAATGTCAGCATCAAGGTGATGCATCAATTCCTCCATCCACCATAGAAGTAATACTGTCGAAATTGTATGCAAGATAATATTGGGAGGGCTTGGATGCTACCGACAGTAGGAGTAATCTTGCTAGCGGTACTATCAGCATTACAATACAACGTACTAGAAGGAGAAAGCAGCTAAAGGACAGAAGAAAAGAAGGACTGGCGGTCGCTGGCAGAACTCGTACAGAGTACTATATATAGAGTCAGAGCTTCAGGCTGGACTTCGTGGCAGGAATTCGGAACGAAGTCAACCGGTTTATCAAAGATCTGGACAAGCGACTCCACAGAAGGGATTACGGCTGTTGTTGTTTTGTTGCAATAGCCAAGCTTAAGATGATCAGGGCTCCTCTGACTGAAGCTTTCGAACACTACTTGTGTTTCTTCGGCCAAAACAACGCATCGGAGGGACGTCGATCCCACATGCCCTTATACAAGGACCCTCAGCGCGAAGCTCCCTATCAACGCCTCGGTTGGATGCGCTTCTTCAGCAGCGAAGGCGGCCGCTGCTTCCTCTGGGCTTCGGGGCGCAGGGTGCCCAAGCAGCAGCTATCACTTGCGTCGCCCCTAAAACTCGAATTGAAATGCACCGCCCCGCCCGAGAATCAAGTGGCAATTAAGAAAAGTCTTACAGTACAGGGAGGGCGTGTTACGCGAAGCCTTAGTTCATCCTCCCGAAACCGGGTTACCCGCTTACTCCTGCACCTCGGAAATTCTCCGAGTCTAAAGCACCAGGCTCTGACCAGAGACTCTTGGTGTCGCTTTGAGGCAGCCACTCTTAAACTGCGAGTTACACCCCTGCAACCCATGGCCTCGACGGCTAGCGCTTCCGCGAGCGCTTCGGCCTGGTTTCGACAGCCGGGCGCAGGTCTGGGGGCATCGAAGGTGCATTTTGTTGCACCGCGTCCACCGACAATGGCTCGCAATCGTCTTCTGGCACCATGTGCGTAGCCATGAGCCATGTGACACGAGGTCCACTAGCTCCTCCGTTGTAGCTGCAATTAGATACGAACTCTGAACTGTACGAATGCACGAACTCGATACGAGCAATTTCACCAAGACGTGCTAGACTGCTAGACGTACCAGTGCAAGCACTGGAAATCTGAGTACGACTTCCAATGCTCCATAGGCTACTAGAAACAAGCGTAACAGTATTCGAACTTATTATTCGGTGAAAGGAGTGCAGCATGAAGATTAACATCGCATTGTTTCACGTCGATGATTCTTTGCTTCGTTGATCCACGCTTATGTGAACCACTGCAGTGCCAAACCCGAAGCACTCGTATCTCACATCTCAAGTCCACTGCCCCGGACTCTAACCTTCCAAAAAGGTTTGAGGGTTTAGGGGCCACGGGGTTCATACACTCTGCAGCCGTCTCAACAGCAGCTGCTTCCTG